ATCCACACCTTACAGTTTAAGTATTAACTAAAATGTTTAATACTTATGTATGATGACGCTATTTTGAAAACGTAAAGTATGCATCTTAGGCAACTTGAGATACTACACTTGCTATGTAATACATTATTTTGGTATTACAATGTGAACACAGTGTGGAGAAAAAGGTTTCAGCTGAAAATGTCTGTGTGACCTTGACAATTGTCCTTGTTTTGAATACGGCAATAACAAGGAGAAGCCAGATGCTACAATATTAATATATATAAGCATAAAACTATCACAGCATTACAACCTATACAAGCTAAAGAGAGCAGCCCAGAACAGTCTGTTGGCAGGGTGTTGTTGCAGACCTATGCTCCCCCAGGAGTCAACAGGAAAATTGATTGAACCTATACAAAGTGATCCAAGCTAATGTCTGCTGACCCTTCAGCATAGCTGCTTTTCTGCATGACGGTTTGTCTGTCGTCTCTCTAAATAAACATTTGGCTTTAACTGCGTAATTATGACGACTTGCAATGTGCTACACGGTGTTTGTGTTCATGGTTAAGCAGACGGTCAGAAACATTCAATCAGCTCGTGATGGTGTTTTTCTCGTTCTGACCCCCGCACTGGTTCATCGCCATCATACTGTTACTGTTGTGTCAGCATCAGTTGAGCTTTATGTTAATGTTGGCAGCTTAGCATCTACCCTGTGCAGTCAGACAGCTACTGGCTGTGGGGTCGCTCCGTGTACCGTGGGTTTGAAGTGTAAATGTGTGTCTCTATTGTTGGACAAGAGAAAGCTTCTATATCTCTGAATTATGAATGTTTTTTTCACGTGTGGATCAAATAAAGCTGCACATTTTCACTGTGTTCAAAAGATAATTAGGACAACTCTTCGCAACTGTCATGCTGCTACAGCAACTCAGGAATGTTTGCTTTTCTAACCACTGCATGATTATAAACTGTGGTTCATTCTCTGACTCCTTCACAGTATGTCCGTATAACTCTTCCTTCCTCTTTCTTCTACATCTCTTGGGGCTCCTTCTCCCACGATGATTCTCCAGTCCTGCATATCAAGAGGTACAGTTGGAAATGGGAGCAAAAGCAAAGATTCTGCCCATCAGTCAGCTTTACTGTGCAGCAGACCTTGAACAAACTTTGCACCACTAAACACTTTTCCTCTATGCTGCTTTACTGACCTTGCCCTCACTTTGAACGCTCTAAAGAAAAGCTGAATAAAGGAGTGTGTGGATGGACAGCGAGGACAACCACAAAAGACACGCAGCTGTCCTTAACCTGGAACTGCCAACATCGTGCAATGTGTTCACTAGTCATATGGACACGCACGCATGCACACTGGGTAGAATATGCCGTGTGGACTATATGCACCCATTGAATTACAAGAATCCTTGAGATATATTGTAATAAATAAGAGCCTCAAACAGCGAGCTATTCTCTATAGAGTGCGACTCCTTACACTGAGCACCTTACCACGGACATTTGTGTCAGCATAGAGTTGCACGGTTTTATCTTCATATGAAGTAGCTGTAAAGCCTTCAGAGTTATCCATCACTGATAAAGACCAAGAGATTGTTCATGCATGAAAACCCCAATAGAGAAAAATGAAAGTGAGAAGGTGGCTCGGAGAGATACG